TTTACAGATGTTGTTGTTTTATGTTTAACTCGGTTAAAATTATCGTTAAGAAACGAGACAATTATTATTAACAAAATTATTAAGAATCGAAATATATGCCTACGTAGTTTCTCCATTTTGCAATCAGCGCCGGCAATTTCAATTTTCCATGAAAATCTGCAGGTACACTTATATGAACCGTTTATTTTGAAAGCGGCATAAGTCACTTTGTTTTTAAGTCGATATATTTAAGGGTTTGCGTTTGAACACGTTTAAAAATATGGATGCTAACTTTCGAGAAGATTTACTTGTATTTGTTATCTCAGGATACTGATATTTTTCTCGGTATAAATAATTTCGTATAAACATTAAAAAATCGCCACTTTTCATTACGGTAAAGTGACTTATGCCACTTTCAAAATAAACGGCTCATATATTATATGACATCCGAGAAAATTCTCTGCATACCGATTCAATGTATCGCAAGATCGTTGCAAGTATGAAGTTCCTTTAACCCGAGAAAGATAACCTACGTCGCAGAGGCGCCTGCGAAGACTGTTGATTTTTGTTAATTTTTCATAGAGGTCTAGTGATTTAAGTTTAAAATTACTTAAAATATAAAAAAATATAATATAAATGCATTTTATTTTTACAATAATGCCAAACCTTTAAAATGACTAGATTAACTTAAATAAATATCCATTGTTAGTATAAAATTGACGCCTTAGAAAAGCATGCGCCTCTGAAGCGTATGGTTATCTTTTACGTACGTTGTCATATGGTTATCTTTCTAGGGTTAATTGTTTCCGAATGTACGGATTTTCTAATCTCAAAATCTGCGTGTTTAAAGTTATTTAGTAAATATGTTATCGTTTTGTTAGAAACATCCAAATAGAAACGCTCTATAGTGTCATATACAACATTTTGCGAAAGTTAATTGAATAATAATAATTGAATAAGAAATAATAATTGTAAAAATAATTGATAGCCATCAGCTATTCTCCTATTTATCCCAAAAAGATTCACCACCCGCGGTTCCAACCATGGATCCGACTTTCTGTTCCAAAGTGAACAAAGAATAATTGTAAAAATAAAAAAGCATGCGTCCGAGAATCGCGGCAAGAACGAGCTATGCACAAGTGGAAAATTCGACCAAGGTAACTCGACCTCTAATCGTCCACACACAGTCTCTGCCCAAACACGAATCAAGGTATGCGCAGCCGAGGGGGCACGCGTGTACACAAAGCGGAAACCGGCGCGGGCGCGCGCTAGAAACGAAAATGCGTCTATCCGCGAGGATTTCCAGTGCGGGGAGAGCGTGTAGAAAAGGAACGCAGGAATCGGTTTTTCGATGGAACCACCCGTGCGTAGCAGCTGCGATCCTTTTTCCCGAAACTTCCCATTCTTGTTCCTTCCTTTCTTACCTCTTCTGAGATCTCGTGTTTTGCCCGGCTAGATAATCCCTTCGACAGAGGCGAACGAGGAAGGGAAACGGAGAGAGAGAGAGAGAGAGAGAGAGAGAGAGAGAGAAAGAGAGAAAGAGAGAAAGAAAGACAGAGAGAGAGGGAGACACACACACACACACAGAGAGAGAGAGAGAGAGAGAGAGAGAGAGAGAGAAAGAGAAAGAGAAAGAGATACAGTGGAGCACAAAAGTTTCCAGCCACTTTTAAAACGTTTTTAAAACTAAAGTACTAGAACTTTTGTCCCTTTTTTTAATGATAGAAAGACCAGCCTAGGACAGAAATATTTTTATTTAATTTCGCTATCACTCGGAGCAACAAAGACATTAAAAACCTGTTTTTTTTCAATACTTCTATCTGAGTCATTTTATCTTGACAAGATTTTTTACACTTTCGACCAGTAAGTGTGAAAAAACTAGACATTTTTTTACATTTTAAAAAATGTATTTTAGTCAGACCAGCACTTTAGACTAGTACTTTTAGCATCTAAAAAACATTCAAGTCATTTAGTCTCTTTATAAATGGCCGGGACTTTTGCACGCTACTGTAGATAGCTAGAGAAAAAGAAATTGATAGGCAGAGAGAAATAAAGAAATAGAAAGAGAGAGAGAGAGAGAAATAGAAAAATACAGAGAAATAGGGAAATAGGAAATAAAAACATAGGGAGAGAGAGAGAAATAAAAAAAGATAAAAGAATAGAGGAATAGAGAAATAAAGAGAAAAAAAGGAGCCAGAAAAATCGAGTCAGCAAGAGAGAGAGAGAGAGAGAGAGAGAGAGAGAGAGAAATAGAAAAATACAGAGAAATAGGGAAATAGGAAATAAAAACATAGGGAGAGAGAGAGAAATAAAAAAAGATAAAAGAATAGAGGAACAGAGAAATAAAGAGAAAAAAAGGAGCCAGAAAAATCGAGTCAGCAAGAGAGAGAGAGAGAGAGAGAGAGAGAGAGAGAGAAATAGAAAAATACAGAGAAATAGGGAAATAGGAAATAAAAACATAGGGAGAGAGAGAGAAATAAAAAAATATAAAAGAATAGAGGAACAGAGAAATAAATAGAAAAAGAAAGGAGCCAGAAAAATCGAGTTAGCAAGAGAGAAAGAGAGAGAGAGAGAGAGGGAGAGAAATAGAAAAATACAGAGAAATAGGGAAATAGGAAATAAAAACATAGGGAGAGAGAGAGAAATAAAAAAATATAAAAGAATAGAGGAACAGAGAAATAAATAGAAAAAGAAAGGAGCCAGAAAAATCGAGTCAGCAAGAGAGAAAGAGAGAGAGAGAAAGGGGGGAGGGAGAAAGAGAGAGGATAAGCGTGGATCAGAGGGAAGAAGCGAGAATCATGGTTTCTCGTCGAGGGGCGGAGGGAAGACACGACCCCGGTGTTTGCCTTTTATTAAACTCTTGTTAAACGCCGCCTTTCTTCGCACACACAATTGAATCGGCAAAACAGCGAAGATAATGCCCAAGCCTCGGCTGTGCACGGCCGAGGGCTGGGCGAGCCCGGGTTTCCACGTCGAAGACTTACCGCAAACACCAGCTCCTTGTGCACCCTGAAATGGACACCGTGTAATCCGGCTCTTTATACGGCGATGTCAGCATTTGACCGGCTCCTCCAGGCATGCACATCGAACCACTCCCGGTAATAAACGGTGCCGTGTCCGCCCTTTATGAAAAACCTCCGCCGGATCCTCGAACGACCGTGAAAATCGCACGGACCGCCCTTCTTCTATTCCTCGTGCGGCTAGAATGAAAATATTTGGATATTTCGAGCGATATTTGGCGGGGCCCGCAGCTCAAAGCGTGCCATTGTCGACGGTAACGCAGCAGACATTCCTCTTGCCGATAGACTTCGATAGAGTCTGCACGTTTCTTTTGCTTCCAGGCATGACTTCATCCTGCAAAACTGCTGTTGGTCTCCCGGATCGTTGTTGGGAAGAGACAAATTGTTTTAGCTGGAATTCTCATTGTCCGTGAGCTCATTGGATTTGCTTAGTTTAGAGCAGGGGTGTCAAACTCAGAAGCTAACTTGGGCCAAATAAACAATGCTTAACTTTAGGTGGGCCGCAAAAAAAAAATCAATGTTCATAGAAACAAATATTTTTATTTTGACTAGTACATTGTAATAAACATATATAAAGTTAAATTATTGTTTACGTCCTGGTACTTGGCATCTCTTCTCCGATACTATCTTCAATATTTCGGAAGAAATTTTATTGGCCGAGACTACTTTCGAAATTTCTAATTCACTTTCCTATTTTATTTTTACTTTGCGTCGGATATATCGACTGGGCCGCAGAAATGTTCATCTCGGACCGCGAATTTGACACTCCTGGTTTAGAAACTCTATCCAAGATTTTTGGAAGGTAAAGTAAAAGACATGACGTCGGTGTACTTCCCAGAATTTGTAGGATCGTATATGAAACACTAGAGTTAATGCTTTGCGTTCGAAACTATTTTAACTTCAAAATTGAAGTATCTCATACCTTCCAAAGTGAAAAATAAATAAATTTTGTGCTATTTTTGTACAGCGTGCTTACTGAAATTGAGCTTATTTATTTAACCTTGACGTAACCGGGGCAATAACGCTTCCTTGGCATGATTTTGACGTGTGACCTTGGCGTGACCTTGGCGTGACCTTGATATGACCTCCTCCCCAAGAACCAACCTGGGCGACTCCGGGGACCGATTTGTGTGATTATGCATGAAAGAAAAATAGTTTCCAAACTATATATCATTTCCTATGACATTATTTGAAAGTTTTCAGAGCTATTATTATTTCTTTTGCAATTGTGTACGTTCTGTACGAGTTTGTGAAACCGTGGTCTGCCCTTCGAATGAAAGTAGTTGAAGTTACAATAATTATCCACTTTATTCCTGCAGGTCTACCGCAATAAGATGAACAACTATTATCAGATCAGCTATGCATCTTTCGAAAAACAGATTTGACAGTAATTTCCAACATATTTGCATATCATACAAGAAAGATCTCTGTGTCACTTTCGTCAACGGCACCTTTGTTTTCGCAACGTCGGCCCGACAGGAATTGCATTATAATTATAATCGTCCCGAAAATAAAGCTATCGGCAATCGCATTCAGCTTTATTGTTTACACAGGCTTTCGATTCAATTATCGTTATCCGCTGCTTCTTCGATTCGCCCGGTATCGGCTCGCGTTCGGATCGGTGGAATCTTCGTCAAAACAATTTTAATTGCAGCCGGATAACGCAGGCAAAGCGGAGGTTACACCGAGGACAAAAGACAACGAATGCACGATATATCACGATGTGCACAGGCGCTCGCGCCGCGAAAAGAAAACCGTCGCAAAAAATCGCGGGACCGCGGCGCCGAATGAATATTCATCGAAAACGCCCCGTCGTCGATCGAGCCGCTAGGAAATAATTTTTTGCTAGGAAATAAAATCAAATAAGCAGCCGATTTCAATTGGCCCCGTTACGATTTTTTTTACATTTCCCAACGGTTCCCGGAATACACCGGTTCTGGAATGGGACAGCGGCCAGGTGCAATCATGAAAATCAAATGAAATGAAGGGAACAGCTGCGCGCAATTTATAAACGGTGTTTATTTTTGCAGTTCTGTTTCCATTTTTAATTTCCGTTTACAACCACGAGGACAGTATCTACACTTGTATACGTATATACAATAATACAATATTTATATATACATATATATTTTTTGTTTTTTCGGACTTTTGATTGAAAAATCTTGCTTCGTTCGGTGTCCCTACGTGTCGTCGTCCTACGTCTGCTGCTGCGGGTTTATACACATATACATAAATATCGTTCACTTGTCTCGCTTAATGTATATCGAGGTAAAAACTAAGTACTCATACAAAAACGTAGACGAATTCATTTAACAAATTCTTCTTGGTTCCATCTTCTCCTTTCCTTTCTCTTTTTTTAGATCGTTTTTCATTATTTTGCTACAATTTGTGTTGGGACTTCGTTACAGGCACATTATAAGACACTCTATGTATGCATACATATACAGCACGTGTAACTGTTGCACACATACGTGCACTGTATACACACATACGTTTTCCATACTTTCAGTTAAGAGATATGACATCGTATACCGTTCTACATTTACTCTAACTCACTTTTTTTTTCGCCATTTCGACGTATCACAACACTACGCTCGTAGCGTCGCTCGACTTCCGAGTTCTCGCTTCTTATATATTGACTAGCAATAAGAATAATTGACTAATGGATACCAAGATGAAAATACGAGATTGGATTGGTGGGGAGCAGACCTTCTTCCCGCAGGTCAAGCCACTGGAAATAATCCTAGAATTCTACGAACACAAGTACTTTTTTTCGCAAACGAACGGAGTACTTCGCAAACGAGATCGGAGGCAAATCAAAGTTTACTTTTTATCAATTGTACAATTGTTTACATCGAAAACATTTCAAATCGATTGTTCTGTAATCGACGTCGGGGTAATGATAACTCGCTTCTTCGATTCCTTAAAAAATGGAACGGACGCGAATTCGTAAAAGTATCTCCAATTACTTCGACCAGCTCGTTTTGTTTATCAGATTACAACACACGTAACCATAATCGTAGAAACAGTTGTCCCGGACAGGAACGAGTTGTTCACGTTCATTATAGCGATATTTAACATGTTCTGTGGCGCGGGATGGCTCATGTTGGAAGCATTTGTTCGATTAGGTGAACGATCTTCTTAACTTATTGTTAGTACTATGAGTAGAATATACAAAGCTGTATGTATACGATATATACGGAATCGTAAATAAATTAGTTTCCTATTTAATTCTGTCGCATTTTATACTTTCCCATTATTTAACTTATTGAGCTTTCTAATTTTTGATGACTTAATGTTTTCTTTTCGATTGGAATTTGGTAACCCCAGGGGACACAGAACTTGTTAACATTTCTCTTGCGTCTGTTAGTGTATAATAATTTGTCTTCTCTCGTTACATCTTTCTTTGTATTGGATTCAAAAGTTTCTACATATAAAAATACACGTATATACATATATGCACCGCAATAAATCTCTCGTTTGTGTAACTGTAGATTGGGACACTCCACGTATATATACGTGCTTAGGTTTTGTGAACGTATATTCGGTGTTATATACAGTGACTCGCAGCTTTATTTTGTAGAGAATTTCATCTTCTTACCTGAAGCATATAAGTTTTGACATGAGTCAGAATTGAAAATTAGAGCTTTATCACGGAACTGCAGATATGTATGCAAAAGATCTTTATGACAAAACTTTGAGGAACATCAATGACACATATATTTTACTTTTAACATAAAGGTTTTGTCACAATTTCGTAAAATGGGAGTTTGCATACGGATCAGCAGCGTGATTACAGTTTCGAATATTTGAATCGGTCTGCGAGTTACTATGCACAACTATGGACACTTATGAGCACGCAACGAAGAAGCTCGAAACAAATCTAATGACAGTGAAGACAGCTTCGTCGTGAAACACAACACTTTCGGCTGCTGTAACTATCATTCTTCTCTAAAAACATTTAATAACCAGTTGTACGTTTACCGTTCATTGGCTGTTGCAGTGGTTGATATATTGTTAATCTATATACATCAGTCGCAATAAAATGACCCATAGAAAAATTCACGTTCAAGAAAATCTTCATCTTCTTTCTTTCATCGCTATATATTTCACTCAGGATAGGGCCATGCTCGTTATACGTACGCATAGGGACGGCCATTTTATTTCAACATAACTCAAAGATTTTCTTTAAGATCTATTCTGAACTCTCTGATATCATTGATGAAATTCGATCCAGAAAATATATCGATGGAAAATATATCCATTTTAGTTTTCGTCACGCACCATCAAGAGTTGTGATAAACACATGGAATAGATCCTTACAAGCGACTTATTCTACTTAGAAAAATGTGTAAAATTTGTCCGTGTTTCAACATAATTGTCCCTTCGATAAGATCGTGTTCGCGCTTGTGTTTGTGTAAGTCTGACTCATATAGGTCGCATGAAAAGGACAATCACAGGAATAACATAATATTTCTGGGATTTTAATGACAAGAAACTGGATATCTTACTTAAACTGTGCACCGACGAATTAACGCTTGTTAATAGGTAAGTAACCTAGTCATCAAATGTGTCTTTTTACACGAAAAGATTAAAGAAATTAAAGAAATCGTGTGTCTACGCTAGAACTTTTTCATGTGTCAATCTTCATTCTGCGAATGATCAATGCGCATCGCATCTCGTGATCATTCCAATTGGCACTGTTCTTTACACGACAATTTTATCATCAACGGGTAATTTTTAGAAACTAAAAGAAATCTACAGAACTAAAGACCAACTGAGTTACCAAACGTAAAATGTTTCACTTCTCAACAACGAATGTATGTATACATCGGCGCGCACGTGTGTGTGGGTGTGTAATATAGATATATTAACATTACAATATATTACCAGCGCTATCATCGACTTGTATATCGTTGAGTAATATAAATACAGCAACATAACAAAATTCTACCGATGTTATATAAAAAGGTATACGAATCCGATGAAACGTTTCGGCGATCGAAGAATAATTTTCACATGTACAATGATTTGCTATTCGACGAATCTGGAGATATCGAATTTCGAAGAATCCAATACGATCCGCCATCACAGGCGGATAAGAACGAAAACGAATACAGTCGTTCGGTACTTGAAGAACTTGCGTCGGTGTCTGGTTCAACAATTGTATAACTTCGTACAAAAAGAAAAAGTAAAATAAAACAAACGGTTTGAAAACAGCTTCTAAGGAACGCGTTTATCGAGATTGTTCCGTTACTTTGAGCGACTCTTTGTCTAAAACTAATAGCTAAGTACTACGGCTTCCGGCGGTTACGCCGGAAGTGAGTCCGCCACTGGACAAAGCAACGATTACAGCGAGTGGTAGAGGAACGTGAAGACCATGCGTTTATTTGATGGAGAAAAATTTAGCAACACGTGAATATTCATTCGCATATTCCCCGTGCAGATTTGGATTTAAAGCTACATCGACGATTACCGGAGATATACATATCGTTCGAAAGGTTCAAACGGTCGATTAAAAACGCAACGGGAGAAGATCGGTCCCTCGGCTTGTGCTCCTGGATTGGAATCCTCAAGACCCAAGGTTCCCGGAAGTGAGTTGCTCTCGTTCGATTCAAGGTACGGCCAGGAAAGAACCATTCGACTCTCCTATTTAACTCTTCAGCGGTCCCGCAAACGCAGTCTGAATTATTAATTTACGCTACCTGCGACAGAGATTCCCTACGACCCACTTGCGATCCCTTCTTTCCTCTCGCTTGCTTGGTCTTACTCTACCAGTACATTAAAAGCCTGTGACGCACGCGTGTCTTCTCTCGCAGAGACACGCAGTTGTGCTATGAAAGAATGTTACGGCGTCACCTACGATTCTAGAACCGCGTTCGTTGGTGTATAGGACATCTCCATGGTGATTCCAGCGCTGCTGCGGCGGAATCTCGATGGAATATCGGCGCAGCTACTGCGGGGTTTGCGTCTGCTCAAGTGTCTCTCCACCCACTTCAGCATGGTCAATACGGAGTCCGTGCTTGGCAAACGTCGCTCGGCCGATGTGCGGATGATGTGCGACGAGGCCACTCGGAATGTGGCTGCCATACCTTTCAACGCCTGCGAATAGTAAACTTCTTTTACAATTGGTAACTTTTATATAAGAATCTAGTAGAAGATTGTATAGTAGGATTAGATAGAAGGAATGAGTTCACAGTCAACATCGATACAATAGGTGATTGTACCTTCATAGCGTCTTCATCGGTGACATCATCACCAGCATAGATGATCCTGATACGCTCGCTCCAGTCTAACCCGAAGGCTGTACGCAAGATGTAGATGGAAGCGTGGCCCTTGTTCCACTCTACCGGTGGCTTGGCCTCGATGGCGCAGTGTGCAAGACCAGCCTTGAAGCCAGCATCCTCGATGATCTTCTTCGCCTGCTCAACCATTGATGTACGAAGTTCCATGGGCGTCTCGCGGTAGTGATACGTCAAAAGGGCACCCTTGTTTTCCACCCAGGCGCCAGCCTTACACAACTGGGGATCATAGAGATCGTTAGTATATTAGCATCTATAAGAGCAAGAAACCTCCAAAGTTTCAACTATTATAACATGGTAATACAGAGAAGTGCTCACTTGCTCCTGCAAAGTTTGCATCAGGTTTGCCACCTTCCCCTCGAGTTCACCAGGCACCGGATGAACGAATTTGCTACCGTCCGGATGTAGGATCTCCAATCCGTGGTTCCCAGCATAGGTGATGCCCTCGATGCCGACCATCGATTTAACGTTGTTCACGTTTCTACCTGATATGATCGCTATGTACACGTCAGACATATTAGAGAGCCTCTGCAAGACGTTTTTGGTTTCTAGAGGTAAAATAGCGAGGTCTGGGTGAGTAGCGATAGGCGCCAGGGTACCGTCGTAATCCAGCAGCAGGGCCAGCTTATGGTTGTCGCCGATATACCTAGGGGACATGTGTTATCACTGGAAGGTTACCCGGCTTTCATCATGAGTCAGGTCGCATCGCACGCGCGGGCCCGCCGTCTTCCAAAAGCGTTCTCTGATCAAGTGGTGCAACTTTCTTTCTCCAAGCGCGATGGTCAAGTCGCGAACGGCACCCAGAAAAATCTTCTTCTCAATAAGAAATATCCCCTTCATTCACATTACCGATTGGACTGTATCTGGGAGAATTTTGTGCGGCGCTGGGAATGGACTTAATAGGAGATAGAACACGTGCCAAGTTAATTCGAGGTAGGACCATGGATGTTAACTCTCGGAGGACATGCTGGACCCTAAGAACTTGTAGCAATGCTTGTCGCTGCCGAAGATACTCGCTTGACTGTTTCTATACTCGCTAATCGGGCGGAATGACTTTAAACAATGTGCTTCTAGTTGATTTTAACAGTACCCCGTCAAGGAAATTATAGAAAATTGAGATCGACTTGTGCGATCGACTTGACAAATAGAGAGAGAGAGAGAGAGAGAGTCTCAAGCGACAAATCAATAACTTGTAGCGTACAAGATGTCGCGGCTATTTTATTGCTGAACGACGTCTTTCCCATACGGTGAACCCAAGGCTTCAGGATTCTGGATGAGTAAAAACGAATACCAAATCATCTTTGGGTTCTTGACTCTTGATACTAAACTGCGCTATCGCCAACAGAGTCCTCATGTCTGCAACTCTAAAATAACGAACTTTGAATCGATTTTTGAAGGTGGTTCCAATGGTTAGCGGATTAAAGATACTACCATTTCGATTCATTGTTTATACAGGCCTTGCCGTGAATGATACAGTAACATAGAAATCGCTGCAAGCTCATAGAGTCAACATGCCCCCTAAGAGTGAACATGATCCTTCGTCATGCCAAATTAATACAGAATCATAGTCCTCGGAACTATCGAAAGCACCATGGTGATAATTCGTATATCCCACGCTGCGACGTACCCAAACTCATGCTTAACTTAAGAAATTAATTCGACTATTGAGTCGTATTCGAGACTTCTTCTGCATTGCATTCCATTTCATCGCTTTCGTTGAACGAGATCATTGATTTTTAGAAGCATCCCCCATCGAATAATGTATAAGCAAACCGTTTGCTTATAACATTAGAGTGCGATTAATTGTTGGATAAGGATTTCTTACTGTTACATCGTTATCACCTTACTTGAATCAACTTTCGTCGTACATTATTGGTTCCCGTTTAAGCGTGTGCTCTGGTCGGGCCCAGTCATGCACATCCGATAACTCCAATGATACCTACTTGCTCAAGTAATCGTCGAAATCGTCCATGGTCACGGGTTGCATCGTCGTTGCACCAACGGAGTCACGTTCTTCCAACGAACCCATCACCTGCAGGAACGACTTCATCCAATAATTAACGTCGTAGATTCTCTCACGACGTCGCAGGTAGTTCATCCTTAACGTGCGCTCGTCTTCAGGCATAGTAAGTGCTCTAGGAACACAACAATCGGTTAGAGAGTTCGGAAAGACACACCGGTATATAGATAGTTTTGTGAAACTTTCATGGGCCAAGGTTCACAAACTACCTGTGTATAACTTCTGCCGCTTCGTCGATCTCATAAGGGTTGCAGATCAAGGCCTCGTGCATCATTTCCCCAGCACCAGCGAACGGAGAGACGATCAACACACCCGGAGGTGTATTGATCTGGCAAGCGACGAACTCTTTGGCTACCAGGTTCATGCCATCCCTGAGCGGTGTGACCAGGGCGACAGCAGCATCCCTGTAGAACGCTGCCAGTTCATTCTGGCTGACGCAGCCGTAAATGTAGCGAATCGGTGACCAATTCGGAGTCGTGAATTGGCCATTGATACGACCTATCAGCTGGTCCATGTCCAGTTTCAGGTCCTGGTACTCGCGTACGTCTGTCCTCGATGGCACGGCGATTTGGAGCATGGTTACCTAGAAAAGAACAATCGTTGGTCGACTGGTCTATGACGTGATTTTGTATTTTTCTGTATTATAGCCCCCACCTGTTCACGATGCTCGGGGTGTTTCTCCAGCAGCATCTCGAAAGCCTTCAGTCTGTGGACCAGTCCCTTCGTGTAGTCCAGACGATCGACGCCTAACACGATCTTCTGATTAGTCAGCATAACTTTATTGGCGGTCTCGGCCAGCGAGACGAACCTGTCGAAGGGAATACCAATTGGAAGCGGTCGGACACGCACGGTTCGGCCACCGTGCTCCACCAACAGGTTCTTGCGGTCGACCCTGCAGCCGAGACTTCTCTGGCAGCACTCGACGAAGTTCAGACAATAGTCCCGAATGTGAAAACCGACCATGTCGCAACCTGGCACGCGATTTTACTTTCATCAGAAATGGAGTCCTATCATTGAACATAAACCAACCGGTTGGCCGACTGGGACCAATTGCTGCAGTTGAATCAGAGCGGATCGATCGCTCAAGGATATTCGCTAGATCAGAGGTTTCATCTTGCTTCTAGTCCTTTAGGGGACATCGAAGCGCATCCTGCTTCTCAAAACTGATGCAAATAGCTCCATCGAATTTCAACGAACCGAGTGATTCAACTTGAACAACGATCAACAATTCGTCCGTCGACCAGCAAGACGAAGGCAAGCTCACCCAGCATTCCCTGGAGGATTTCATCAGCCCATGGGAACAGCCTGAATATGTCCCATGGCGGGAAAGGGATGTGGAGGAAGAATCCCAACTTTAACCTGAGATTATTCTCGTCGGCGGCTTGCCGAATCCAGTTGGCGGCCAGCATCAAATGATAGTCGTGCACCCAGACCAACGGCGTACCGTTCGATTGATTTTCTTGCTCCTTGTGGATCTGCTTGAGCGCCGCGACCTGAATTCAAGATGAACGATTGTTCGTTGTTATGCGTGACAGTGTCCCGGAACATTCCTACCAGCGTAGAATTATTCAAATCGATTACATTCGATGGAACTTACGGTCTTCGCGGCGAATTCCTCGTTGACCCTGGAATACGCGCGCCAATGTTCCGCGATGAAGGTCGCCCTGTCGGGCATAGAATGGAACAGTGGCCAGAACGTGCCATTGCAGCAACCGTTGTAGTACGAGTCGAAGATCGTCGGCTCCACGTGCACCGCTACCACCTGGACAAGCAAACATTCGGACTTTATTAGCGGGAACTTAATTATGTCAGGGATTGTAAGGTCTCTTCTAAGCCTGTTTCTAAACAAGCTTTCTAAATTGGTTCTCTAAAAATCTCCGAAAAAATTGTTCAACATTTACAGGGTGTCCCAAAAATGTCTGGCGGGTTCCTCAGGTCATTTGAAGCAACTTTTTCCTTTACCAAAATNACCACCTGGACAAGCAAACATTCGGACTTTATTAGCGGGAACTTAATTATGTCAGGGATTGTAAGGTCTCTTCTAAGCCTGTTTCTAAACAAGCTTTCTAAATTGGTTCTCTAAAAATCTCCGAAAAAATTGTTCAACATTTACAGGGTGTCCCAAAAATGTCTGGCGGGTTCCTCAGGTCATTTGAAGCAACTTTTTCCTTTACCAAAATTTTCTCCGAGGCACCATTAACGAGTTATTAACGAAAAACAGTGACCAATAAGAATCGGGTACGGCTGACGCGAGGTGGCCGAGCCAACGGCGCCAGCGGTCGAGGCGGTCGAATCCCAGCTCAGCTGGCGCGTGGCGACCGAGCCAACTTCGTGCGCTGGTTGACTGGGCCGCCTCGCGTCAGCCGTACTCGATTCTTATTGGTCACTGTTTTTCGTTAATAACTCGTTAAGGGTGCCTCGGAGAAAATTTTTGTAAAGGAAGAAGTTGCTTCAAATGATCCAAGGAACCCGCCATTTCCGGATTGCGAGACATTTCTAGGACACCTTGTATAATAATCTGATCCACAATCCATGAAATTCGTTAGATCAACAGGATGTAACAGTTTCTTCTGTAAAACTATTATTTGAAAGAAAATGATCGAACTTACGTATTGTCTTCGGTCATCGAAGAACCTATTAATAAGGCTTCCGGTAAATAAAGTGTTGATCTATGCTTGCAGATTTTTAATACAACTAGGTGAAAATTGTTCAAATTGTTTCGAGGATCTTTTATAAACCGCCATAAAGATAACCATAAGTTCCATTACTTGAAAGTTAGTTTTCTCTTTAGTACATAGACACTGAACTCGGTGTTATGAAATCATATAGATCTTTAACTGTAATTCAAGATTATCTGAATAATAACTTGATATTTAACTTAATGTTATTTAACCGAATATTAAATAAACTTTATAAGTGCACATATATGTGCACCTACAGAATCTATTTTCTATGTTCACCGAAAGAGCTATTTAACGTGACAAAATTAATCTCTCCGTCGTTGCTTTCACAAAAGGAGCCATACAAATTGGAGTTTGTACAAAGATGAATGAATTACTAGGAACGGGAAGTTACCGACAACAAAGTGGTTATTATGAAATAACGGAGACAAAGGGTTAAAGTTGCGATTAATTTCCAATAATGAGATTTTTCTTTGTCGCGTCCAGAGTGCGTCCAGAGCACACTGTTGTTTACCAAGGACGATGATATGCAGACGCGCGCGACGATCAACGCTGACGTATCGACAGTCGATTTAACAGTTACCAAGTTATTAGTTACTTCGTTCGATCGAAACCGCATAGCTGTTTATAGCAATTGAACGAATCTCCGAGCGATTTAAGGCACGATCGAAATATAAATCTAACGTGTACGATAAACGCGTTACGGTTTGAGAGGGGAACGACAAAAATGTCTTTGTGCTGCAGGAGGAAGAAGACGAGCTATTCCTTAATTAATGGATAGCTTGCAGCTCGAGGAGAGCGTTCCACGAGGACGAGTACCGTTTCACGATACTGCTGCCGCTACGAGATACTGCATTTACTTCAAAGCGTCTTGTTACATCGATAAGAGTTACTGCAGAAAAATGCTATTATCATTTTATTTTATTTATTAATGCTTAACACTATATTGCCTAAGCGATAACTATATATAGCAATAAAATCGTAAAAGAATCAAATTCACTCGCTTAGGCAATCTAGTGTTAAGCATTAATAAATAAAATAAAATGATAATAGCATTTTTCTGCAGTNTTAAGGGTGCCTCGGAGAAAATTTTTGTAAAGGAAGAAGTTGCTTCAAATGATCCAAGGAACCCGCCATTTCCGGATTGCGAGACATTTCTAGGACACCTTGTATAATAATCTGATCCACAATCCATGAAATTCGTTAGATCAACAGGATGTAACAGTTTCTTCTGTAAAACTATTATTTGAAAGAAAATGATCGAACTTACGTATTGTCTTCGGTCATCGAAGAACCTATTAATAAGGCTTCCGGTAAATAAAGTGTTGATCTATGCTTGCAGATTTTTAATACAACTAGGTGAAAATTGTTCAAATTGTTTCGAGGATCTTTTATAAACCGCCATAAAGATAACCATAAGTTCCATTACTTGAAAGTTAGTTTTCTCTTTAGTACATAGACACTGAACTCGGTGTTATGAAATCATATAGATCTTTAACTGTAATTCAAGATTATCTGAATAATAACTTGATATTTAACTTAATGTTATTTAACCGAATATTAAATAAACTTTATAAGTGCACATATATGTGCACCTACAGAATCTATTTTCTATGTTCACCGAAAGAGCTATTTAACGTGACAAAATTAATCTCTCCGTCGTTGCTTTCACAAAAGGAGCCATACAAATTGGAGTTTGTACAAAGATGAATGAATTACTAGGAACGGGAAGTTACCGACAACAAAGTGGTTATTATGAAATAACGGAGACAAAGGGTTAAAGTTGCGATTAATTTCCAATAATGAGATTTTTCTTTGTCGCGTCCAGAGTGCGTCCAGAGCACACTGTTGTTTACCAAGGACGATGATATGCAGACGCGCGCGACGATCAACGCTGACGTATCGACAGTCGATTTAACAGTTACCAAGTTATTAGTTACTTCGTTCGATCGAAACCGCATAGCTGTTTATAGCAATTGAACGAATCTCCGAGCGATTTAAGGCACGATCGAAATATAAATCTAACGTGTACGATAAACGCGTTACGGTTTGAGAGGGGAACGACAAAAATGTCTTTGTGCTGCAGGAGGAAGAAGACGAGCTATTCCTTAATTAATGGATAGCTTGCAGCTCGAGGAGAGCGTTCCACGAGGACGAGTACCGTTTCACGATACTGCTGCCGCTACGAGATACTGCATTTACTTCAAAGCGTCTTGTTACATCGATAAGAGTTACTGCAGAAAAATGCTATTATCATTTTATTTTATTTATTAATGCTTAACACTATATTGCCTAAGCGATAACTATATATAGCAATAAAATCGTAAAAGAATCAAATTCACTCGCTTAGGCAATCTAGTGTTAAGCATTAATAAATAAAATAAAATGATAATAGCATTTTTCTGCAGTAACTCTTATCGATGTAACAAGACGCTTTGAAGTAAATGCAGTATCTCGTAGCGGCAGCAGTATCGTGAAACGGTACTCGTCCTCGTGGAACGCTCTCCTCGAGCTGCAAGCTNAAAATAAAATGATAATAGCATTTTTCTGCAGTAACTCTTATATATATATATAGAGAGAGAGAGAGAGAGAGAGAGAAAAATTCTATATACAGGGTGTCCCAAAAATATCTCACAATCCGGAAATGGGAGGTTCCTGGGGTCATTTGAAGTAACTTTCTCCTTAGCGAAAATGCAATCCGCGACTTTGTATACAAGTTATCTACGAAAAACAATGACCTATATATATATAGAGAGAGAGCGAAAATTATTTAAGTTAGATATACAGTTATATATCTAGAAATGAGGGGTTCCTGAAGGGTTCGCC